GATGGGACCCCAATGACCACCCCTGGTGGGACATGGGTGGATGGGACCCCAGTGACCTCCCATGGTGGGACACAAGGAACTGGGACCTCCATGACCTCCCTTGGAAGGACATGGGTGGATGAGATCCCAGTGACCAACCATGGTGGGACATGGGGGGTTGGGACCTTAATGACCATGGTGGGACATGGAGTGGGACCCCAAAGACCTCCCATGGTGGGACACAGGGAGCTGAGACCTCAGTGACATCCTGTGTTGGGACATGGGTGGATGGGACCCCAAAATGTCCCTCCAGGGGCACCCAGACATCCAGGATCCCCAAAAAACCTCCCCTGGGGAGAACCTGGGTGTCCAGGCTGCTGATCACCACCCAGGAGAGGACACAGGTGTCCAGGTGACCTCCCCCTCCTCTACCATGGAGGTCCCAGGTGACCAGGGTACCTTGCTGAGCTGGGACATGACCTCCCAGAGGAGGGCGTGGAGGGTGGAGAGCTCACGGCCCAGGTCGATGTAGCCCTCGAAGCTGGTGCTGTTGGTGAGGGTGTCCAGGTTGGAGATCTCGTAGAGGAACTGCTGCATGCTGGTCCACTCCAGCTCCAGGAACTCATTCATGAAGGCCATGTACTCCTCCTTGCTGCCAAACCTGCGGGCAGGTGCTCAGCGTGGTCTGCGATGGCCCCTCCAATGGCTGCTGTCCCCTCCACCAGCCTGGCCCACCACCCTCTGTCCCTCCAGCTTCCAGGCATCCCATCATAAAGCCACGTCTGGCCTTCAGCCAGCTCTGCTGTCCATTTGTTCTCCATCCATCCACCATCCATCCATCCATCTTCATCCATCCATCTTCATCCATCTTCATCCATCCATCCATCCATCCATCTTCATCCATCCATCCATCTTCATCCATCCATCTTCATCCATCCATCCATCTTCATCCATCTTCATCCATCTTCATCCATCCATCTTCATCCATCCATCTTCATCCAGCTTCATCCATCCAGCCATCCATCCATCTTCATCCATCCATCCATCTTCATCCATCCATCTTCATCCATCCATCTTCATCCATCCATCCATCCATCCATCCATCCTTCTGTCCACCCAACTCATCCATTCACCTCACACCCATCAACTCAACCCACCTTCCATCCATCTACCCATCTTCTGTTCGTCCATCTTCCCTCCACCCGCCACCTCACCCACCCATCAGCTCACTCATCTTCCACTCATCTTCCATCAACTCCTCCATCTTCTGCTCATCTGTCCATCTCCTACTCATCTATCCATCAACTCATCCACTCACCCACCAACTTCTATCCATCTTCTGCCCATCCATCCATCTTCTGCCCATCTATCCACCTTTGATCCATCTGCCAGCTCATCCATCCATTTTCCATCTCCTATCCATCCAACTCACCCATCCATCTTCTGTCCATCATCCATCAACTCATCTGTCCATCCTACACCCACCATCCATCAACTCATCCATCCACCTTCTCTCTGTCCATCCATCTTCTGTCCATCTACCCACCTTCCATCCATCCATGTTCTGTCCATCCATCCATCTTCTCCTCATCCATCCACTCACCCATCCATCTTCTGTTCATCAGCCATCAACTCATCTGTCCATCCTGCACCTATCATCTATCAGCTCACCCATGCACCTTCCATCCATCATCCACCAACTCATCCCTCCATCTTCTGTCCATCATCCATCAACTCATCTGTCCCTCTTACACCCATCATCTATCAACTCATCCATCCACCTTCTATCCATCTTCTGCTCATCTATCCACCTTCTATCCATCTTCTGCTCATCTATCCATCTCATTTATCCATCTTCTGTCCATCAACTCATCCATCCACTGTCTATCCATCCATCCATCTTCTGGCCATCAACTCATCCATCCACCTTCTATCCATCTATCCATCTTCTGCCCATCACCCAGCCACTCACCCATCCATCTTCTGTCCACCATCCCTCAACTCACCCCTCTGCCCACCCTCCGTCCACCCACCCATCCACCCACAGACCTACAGATCCACCTTCCCTCCACCATTCTCCTCCCCACCCACCCGTGTTCCTCACCATCCCTCCATCCAACCACCATCACCCACCACCCACCCAACCTCCCTCCTCCCTGCTGGGCGCTCACTTGGTGAAGTTGGCCAGGTTCTGGATGACCTTGGCGATGAGGGTGAGGGTGCGGGCGGTCTGCTCGTCGGGATACTCCTGCATGAGGCCGAAGAGGCTGGGGGGCAACACGGGCGGGGCAGGGAACAAAACACTGATCAGCCGGTCAGCGATGTCCTCGCGGCCCCGCTCGGCGCATCGCAGCCGCCACGAGGCGAAGACCTCCTTCAGCTCCCGCGGGAACACGCTGCGGGGTGAGGAGAGGACACGGTCAAGGACCCCATGGGTGGGGAATGGTGGGGGAGATGCCCTCAGCCCCCAGGACTCACCAGTGCGAGTTGACCACCTTGCAGAGGGCGAGCTCGCAGCACATGCGGAGGTTGGCCTGGTGGTCGGCCAAGGTGGAGGCCGAGCACTTCATGGGGTCAACCTCGCAGTTCTCCTCCGACTCGTACAGCGCCCGGATGAACTCGCCTGCGTGGGGATGGGGACGTCAGAGGGGACCAGGGACCACCCCACTGTCCCATCGGGCCAGGCCAGCCCGATGGGGACATGGCCATGAGAAGGGACCACCCAACCATCTCATGACCATGCCAATGGGGACCTGGAAATGAGCAGGGGCTGGGGACCACCCAACTGACCCAGAGCCAGGCCACCTCGATGGAGAGACGGCCATGAGAAGAGACCACCCAACCATCGCCTGGCCATGCCAACAGGGGCATGACCATAAGAAGGGACCACCCAACCATCCCCTGACCATAAGAAGGGACCATCCAACCATCCCCTGACCATAAGAAAGGACCATCCAACCATCTCATGAACCACCCAGCCATCCCTTGGCCATAGGAAGGGACCACCCAAGGATCCCATGACCATAACAATGGTGACACAGCCATGAGAGTGGACCACCCAACTGTCCCATGGCCACGAGAAGGGACCACCGAACCATTCCCTGACCATAAGAAGGGACCACCCAACCATCCCATGACTGTAACAATGGTGACCCAGCCATGAGAAGGGACCACCCAACATCCCATGACCTTGGCCATGAGGACCTGGCTATGAGCAGCTACTGGTGACCACCCAATCATACCCTAATGGGGCCATGGCCATGAGAAGGTACCACCCAACTGTCCTACAGCCACGCCAATGGGGACATGACCACGTGTGGGCACCACCCACCATCCCACAGCCATGTCAGGGAGGCCCTGGCCATGGCGAGGACCTCTCAGCAGTGGTGGAGCTCACCGATGGCATCCTTGAGGTATTTCTGGCCGATGAGTTTCAGATACTCCTCTATGGCTTTCGTGGCGAGGGTGTTCTCCCGGAAGATCAGGTGCTCCCGGTCCATGAAGCGATCCACCTCCGTCATGGCCATGTCCGACAGGAAGTCCTGCCCATGGCCATCAGGGCGGCCCAACGCCCACCTGCGCCCCGGCTACCCGGCCAGGCTGGCCCAGCCCACCCCACCCCACCCTCCTTGCACCCTTGTGTCCTGCCTCCATCTTCTGTCCATCCATCCATCCACCCGGCATCCATCATCCATCTGTCCTCCATCCATCCTTCTATCCACCACCCATCTGTCCTCCATCCATCCTTCTATCCACCACCCATCTGTCCTCCATCCTCCATCCCTCCTCCATCCTCCATCCAACCTCCTTCCATCCAATCTCCATGTCTGCCCTTCATCCAACCTCCATCTGTCCATCTCTGTCCATCCGCCATCCATCCAGTCTCCATGTGTCCTCCATCCATCCTCAACCCTCCATCCAACCCTCCATCTCCCATGTGTCCATCCATCCATCCCTCCATCCACCCATTCTCCATCCCTCCTCCATCTCTTCTCTCTGTCCTCCCTCCATCTTCCATCCATCCCCATGTTTGTCCATCCTTCTCCATCCATCCTCCAGGTGTCTGTTGTCTATCCAACCACCATCTGTCCTCTACCCGACTCCCATCTGTCTGTCCATCCTGCTCCATCCATTCTCCATCCATCCTTCACCCACCCATCACCCAACCTTCCATCCATCCATCCATCCATCCATCCATCCATCCATCCATCCATCTCTCCATCCATCTACTCATCCAAGTTGTCTCCACCTATCTCCATATGGTCTCCATGCATTCATCTTCCATTCATCCATCCTTCCTCCATCCATCTTCCTTCTATCCATCCATCCATCCTCCATCCATCTGTCCTCCATCTGTCCATTCTTCTGTCCATCTCTCCATCCATCTACTCATACAAGTTGTCTCCACCTATCTCCAGATGGTCTCCATCCAACCTCCCTCCATCCAACCTCCTTCCAGCCATTCATCCATCCATCATCCAATCTTCCAGCCATCTCTCCATCCATCTGCTCATCCAAGTT